AGCAAATATTCAAAAAATGTCGAAACCAGAGACTTTATTAAATTTCACAAACAAAAAAAGGATAAATTAGTTGCATTTTCTTTAAATTTTCCATTTGTCTTCCACTTACTAAATTATAAAATTTATAAAAAAAATATTTGCTAAAGATTATATGTTTTGAAGACCAGTGGGATGCAATTATGGTTGTTTGATGGTGAAAAATGATGAACGCCAAAGGCCAAAATTCAGTAAGAAATGAGAACTAATTTTAAAATATTGAAGGTTTTGTTAAAGTATCTACGATGAGTGCGGCTAAAGATATTTTTCTAGCCATTTTTTCTCAGATTTTCGAATTTATTCGCTATTTTTAATTTAAATAATGAAAAATTCCAGAATTAACTTCAAAAAAATGGAAATATACTTTACGCAGCTGCAAATTTACTTAAGAATAAGTATCGGTGGTTAGTGGAAAGATTGCTGCCAAAGTTATATTGAGAATGGCTCGACTTCGAAATCTGTCGATGCACTTCGTCGCACGGCAGTATTGCCGAATGGCCAAAGCAAAAAGGGCTGAAATAAGAGCTTAGCTACTACCATTTCGGTTCGGAGTGCTGAGGTCAAAGTTTATATACACGGTACGAGCGTTCTTGTGTTCTTTCTTGAAAAAAATTCGGCTGATACCTGCGAATTTATACTTCTATAGCCATATGATACTCTGGCAATGAATAAATTCATCTGTTTAGGTAGGTTCAGATAAGCCAAGTCAGCAATAATAAGTGCTTTATGAAAAAAAAGTTGCAAATAAATATTTGTACTAAAAATGGTAGTAAAAATTTGTATGTTCTGGATCCATGACAACAAACTCTATAGGATACAGTGGGTCCGTAGCTATGTGGATGTTAGAATTTTCGGAACCAGACGACAATTACCCTCACCCTACACAATCGGAAGCAAATCTTTCTTATTCTGGGTCCAATGCAACTGCCATAAGCTATATCATTTTTTTCGGAATATTTAGCCACAATTATATATTTTTCGGCATAATTAGTGCCATTAATGAGTGGTCTTAGAAAGAAAATTTTTTTTGTATATTTGATTTATTTAAAAAAAAAAAATTTATTTTATTTTTATTATTTAATTTATTTAAAAAAAAAATTTAGTATTTATTCCAGTGAGGTGTATTTGCTTAGTCAATGCAAAAATTAAATGATTGTATGAAATAGTGTGCATTGCATTGTAAAGCTAAGGATTTTATTGAATTTTTCTTTTAATATTGCAGTACTTAACATCAATTTAATAAATTTGATATAATAATTTTGATAAACAAGTAAATGTAGCTTCCTGAGACCCGCGCAAAATGGAGGTATGACGACCTTACGAGCGTATTCGCGATCCATTTTGTAAGCTAACAGGTCGGAAGTGTGGTGATAATATGGTCTACAAAACTATTGAATGACTGACATATCGATGATTCTCTTGAAATATGCAATGCAAATGTGTTAGCAAAAAGTATACGAAAAAAGATGGATGATGAGAAAGATCTGTGAAAAAAAATCATGCGCAAGTGCACAATAATAATGCGTTGCTAAATTTCCATGAATCATTGCTAAAAAGTTAAGGATCTGGAATAGGCTATGAATTAAAGGGCTACAATAAAATACTTGTTGATGATTTGGTGAATCGAAATATTCTTTTAAAATATATACTCTATAACAAATCTTTTCTGCATGCGAAATCTGGTATTTATCTGGACTTTCATGTGGAATAAGACAATATATTGGATGGAAGGAATTGTACCACTTAGTGTGGAATATGATTTAATCGCTGCTGATCTTTCCTTTCATGATGAAGTTTAATAGACTACATAATATGCCGATAATTGGATCAAAATTTGAGTTATATTTGACTAATATAAAAAGACGAAAGTCTTTTCGCCTTATGCTGCAAAAACGCTGGTAAAATATCGATATTATCAACTAACCATGGTTGAAAAAAAAGAAAAAGCTTAACTTATTTCTGGTATCCACTATTATACCAAATAGCCAAACGGAAGACGAATTTGCGCTAGGGCCACAACTGAAAGCAGATTCTGCGAGTATTGAGTAAAAGGGAAAGGATACATCCTTGACGGCGATTTTATTTCGAAAAGGTTAGATGAATCTCTATGGAATCGCGACGAAATCGATCTGGCTGTAACCAACATTGAGTAGAGGATATTAGGAAGCGATATGTCTTTTATTTCTGAAGAATTATCAAATGGGTATAATTCATATGGTTATTGAAATACCATCTGCAATATCAATATTGTTATAGAGTGATATTTGGCCTTGGTCACTTGGGCTCATTCCAGAGTCTTGCTAAGCTCTATGGTGACGCCGGGTGAGTGGTATCATATATTTACAATTTATTTTCTTATGCAAATTTTTTATTTCTCAACGAAGGAAATAATTTGACACATGGAAATCCGAATAAAATTTGCTTAATTGTTAATTGATATAAAAATGATATAAAAAAATTTATAAATCTGAGCGAAAAAGAATCGACAAAAAGAGAATTCACTTAAACAGTTTTTGGAAAAGAAGGTCTTAAATAATATAAATAATATACATTTACATTTGAATTCCCTTTGAATATTTTCATTAATTATTATTTTTCTTATAAAATTTCGCTTTTTCTACTTTATACGATCCTTTTATAATTTTAAGATTGGTTAAGACTCCTTCAATTTAGAAATAAGTGGTCAAGGGCAGATAGCTTCTTAATATTTTCCACTTTCATAGGCCATTTTTCGCAGCCATATAGCAAATTGAGCGAATTCCAACTATATGGATTTTTTATGTGAATTCGCGACAAAGAGTTCGTCAAGCGGAAAAACATTTCTAGTTGCCGTTATCCAAGTTGGTTGTTTAATTTCATCCATTGTTTGGCCATTTCGGATTGGATCCAAGATATATAAGGTCACATTTCCTCAACCAAAGGGTTGATAGAAGTAGGTGTTTCATCAGCATCTTGTATGTAAGGCAGTTCCGTTAAACTTATTTACATCGATTCTGAGTCCAATTTTTGCTGCAGGTGTTGAAAAAAGAGTCTTGCTAAGCTCTATGGTGACGCCGGGTGAGTGGTATCATATATTTACAATTTATTTTCTTATGCAAATTTTTTATTTCTCAACGAAGGAAATAATTTGACACATGGAAATCCGAATAAAATTTGCTTAATTGTTAATTGATATAAAAATGATATAAAAAAATTTATAAATCTGAGCGAAAAAGAATCGACAAAAAGAGAATTCACTTAAACAGTTTTTGGAAAAGAAGGTCTTAAATAATATAAATAATATACATTTACATTTGAATTCCCTTTGAATATTTTCATTAATTATTATTTTTCTTATAAAATTTCGCTTTTTCTACTTTATACGATCCTTTTATAATTTTAAGATTGGTTAAGACTCCTTCAATTTAGAAATAAGTGGTCAAGGGCAGATAGCTTCTTAATATTTTCCACTTTCATAGGCCATT